TCTCTCTTAGTTTTCTCTTGAATTAATTTTTTTTTTAAATTCCTCTCCATTAGATTTTATTTTTTAATTTTTCTTATGTTTAACTCTTTTATTTTAACACATTTCTTTTCTGCTATAAAATATCGTACGATTTTTACTTAAGCCAATCAAAAGTTAAAGATAAGATGACGTAATGTGAATTTTTTATGTCTGGCAGGGATCTCCGTTCTGTTATATTTTATAGAATATAATAGTGATATAATAAACTGTATTATTCATTGTCAATTCAAAGTGGAATATAAAGAAAATTTTTTGTAAACATTTTATAAAAGTTCATTATTCATTTATATTTTATATATAGATAGGTACATGTTCATATGTATGTTTGTATTAAGTTATGCATTTATCTATATACATATGTATAATTATATTTTCGATTAAAATTATTTATTTTCGAAAACGAAAACAAGTTTAATACATTTATAAAGATATGATCAAATATTATTATTTTGAAATTAAAATTATTATTTTTTTTTAATTAATATACTGTTATATTTGATCACCATGTGAAGAAATATAACAGTTGATATATAGTAAACCACAGATACCTTAAGAATTTCTATGTACATAGTACATTTATTTATATGTATGTATATGCATACGTATGGATGTCTAATCTACGATAAAAGAACGGATATGAAAATATAATTTTTAATAAAATTTTATCATTATTAATTTATGACAATGACATTGTCTACAGATGTTGTTCAAATCAAACTCTCACTAATTAATTTATAAACTTATTTTATTATGAAAAATTTGACAATAAAATAAATAGATTGCTGAAGTTTGCAAACTATGTATATATATTCATACATAAATTTGTACATAAAATAATGTAATTATAGTAAATAATATTATTCCGCGATTATGAGTACACATAATATTATGTTCTTACAAAAATTTACATTTTAATTAATAGTCATAATAGGTTATTTTAAAAAGCTTCAACATGTTGCTCATATTTTTGAAAACAAAGCTTTTGATTATGTAAGAATTCAAGCAAATACAAGCAATTTCTTTTCTATTACGTGTGTACATATTATGTAGAATTTGTAAATGTATGTATACAAAATATAAAACAACATTTTCTGACTCACTCACTTGTTTATCGTATTAAACAATTGCTATTTAACAAGTGAATATTAAAACAATAAAAATATTATGTATTTCTTTTTAAAACTCTATAAATTTTTACTTAATTTAAATTGTAAATAATTTTCGTAATAGTACTAAAGTTGTACTTTGAAAAAATTATTTAAAATGTGTGTCCCTATACATATTTTAGAAATGTGTCTGCATTTAGGAACTTAAATATTTTCATAATTAAATAATCTTATTACAAAATATATTATTAACAAGAAGAAAAATAAATTTTGGTTGTACATAATTTTATTTTAAAGAGTAATTTTAAATTTACTCATGTAAAGAAAGAAACGAAAGCTTTTGAAACGAATATTTTCTAATAGCAACTTTTATTTGGAGTACCTTACACATCTGGTACGAGTATTATCTGTTGTGTTTATATGATTCTAATAAATCAACTAAATTTTATAAACAAAACTTGATTTAAGAATCAATGGTCAGTAACAATATTTGAAATTTTTTGCAAAATTGAAAATTTTACAATAAAATATATTTATTAATTTTTGTTTTGTTTTCATTGTAATATTATTTTTTATGATTAAATAGTATTTATTTACAATATTTATAAACTTTATTATTTGTTAAATTAAATTAAAAAATACAGGTGCCATCAGTAATAAAATCACCCTTTCCGTTGCATGATAATTAAAATCTTATAGATAAATTAATTTTTTGCTGTTTTAATTATACACTATAGTTGTAATAAATTGTAAAGTATAACAGGAAAAATGATAAACAAACCAATTAACTGTTATTTAAACAATGCAAAATATAATGATGTTACGTAAAATAATAAACTATAATTTTCACTTAAATATTCTCATTTACTGTGTAACACTTTCTAATATCTATACATTTTTTTTTAGTCCAAAATATCATGTTGTTTTTCATAGCTACCGTGTTAATGCAATATATTCTATAAAATGAAGGTTTTTCAAGCGTACCGTACTCAAAAATAATCTAGAAGCTTTAAATTGCATTATTTCAATTAACACACTTTCAGTAGACTGATCCATATTGGCAAATATAAATCATTCGTAACGAATAACATACACCCCGAAACTTTCATTAAAAAAATTTTGCATATTACCTGCTTAAAATTATAAAATGCGAGCAACAGGTTTACTTTTTTTACTTTTTGATAATGCATCATTTGTGCAACAAGTGTATTAAGTAAAGTTTGTACATTATGTATTTTTTAGTTTTTTAGAAAAATTTTCATGTAATATTGAAGTAGAAGTTAAAAATATCTGATTTTCGAACTAAATCAATGTTATAAAAAACAATGGTGTAAAGCAAACCCTTTTCAAATTATGGTGTTATCGATAATCGTGTAAACTTTTTTAAATACTTTCTTCTTACTCATAAATAGCCGAGTACGTATTGCTTTTAACAATAAAAAAATAAATTTAAGTTGAAAATCATTTATAAAAAAAGAAAAACATAAAACTTTAAAGAAAAAGGTCCGAAAATTTGCTTATGTATATTTTAAAGAGTAAAGCTACGGTAGCACAAATTTATATATTTACCAATATATATTAAAATTATAATATATATAAAAACTAATATAATGTATGTATTGTTCGTACATACCCATTCAATTTTGTTATTACAAAGTAAATTTCCGAATAAATTCTTATTCATTCAGCTTTGATGTTTTAATATTTCGAACCAAATGAACACTTCTGACCAACCGGACCATGTTTCAAAAACTACTACGTTTTCTGAAATTTAAAAGTTTATTTTAAATAAAAAGTATTTACGTAATTGATTTATGAAAATTGATGAGAAATTCTTTTTTCTACAGAATAATTTCAGTCCGAGAATATTATGATTTCATTTTATCGTAAAATATCAAAATGAAAATGAGTTTAATAAAAATTTCACAAATAAAGTAGGATTAGGTAGAATTTCCTATTTTTTTTTTTTTTTTTTTAACTAAATTTTTATGATGTTAAATACTTAATACTAACTCTTTTCAACTTACCCCTTAAAATTTGAAAATTTCTGTCATTTTCACAAGAAAAATCTTTCTGGATCATTCTGGAATATAATGTACATAATAATGAAGTACCCTTGAATATGAATTTACAGTAATATACAGTAGGCAATTTTTGTAATTACTAGCGCCACTAAAAAAAATTGTTCGTTACGTAATTAGAAAAATTGTCTTCTGTATATCATTATAAGCTATATACTAGTACTATTGTATTAGTATACAATATATAGTATTGACTACTAATATAATATTAGTAAATTTAAAAAATCTTTGAACTCATTTACAATAAAAATACTAATAGTATTTAATACTTCACAATTTTAGTAAAAAAACTTTCTTTTTCTTATTTTTAAACAATGCCAAAAATTATAATGTTGTTTCAATTTTGGATTTCTAAACGCGATTGAATTTAAATTGCAAAAGAATTTCATTTTAAATAGTTTTGCATGGTCACATATTAAAAGAAAATGTTCTTCTTTCTATTTATTTTGACCTTAACCGAGAGCTTGTGTCAAAAAATCAAATTAATAATAAAAAATTTAAATTCAATTTAAATTATTAACATTGAAATCACCTCCACTATATCAATGTTTTTTTTTTTTTTTTGTATAATTGGATCTCAGAATTTTCTTCTTTTCCTTTTTATTTTTGATTTCTCATGAAATCGGCAATCAATTTAAAATCAATTTAAATAATAATAAATTTAAAGAGTTGATTTAATTAGAAAAAATTATAGTTACTTTTCTTTCAATGAGAATCAAAATATTTATTTCTCAATAACAAATGTAGAGAGACTTTACAAATTTAAGATAGCATCAGTATATTTTATTTCGTACTTTTTAGCAGTTTTCCAAAAAAAAACTTTGAAAAAAAGTGATTATTAGTTGCACTTTTTCCGTCCGTCTCTACTTCCGTTTGTTCGTACACCGTCCGTCCGTGGACATGCTTACATAATTTCTACAACCTTGAAGGTGAACTAAACTCATACGTACATAGATCTTTACTAGAAACTTAATTTGTAGAAAAAAGTATCTTCTCCTTTTTTTGATACTCTTTTGTCTTCTAGACCTCAGGTTGCAGGAATCTGTAATTTTATAGTAGCTCTTAGATATTCATAAATAGTTCATTGCGTTAGAAGAAATTTTTTTTGCACAAGTTACCACCTCTCTAAATTTATAAAATTTGAATTTTTCGCATCCTATATTTCTGAAACTGCCAGCATATTTTTATTAAAAAATATGATTATTTTTCTTAACTCACGCAAATAACCCTTGAATTCGAGCATTATGTTAAAGCTCTCTTTAAATTTTCTATTGTTTTATTTCAATATTCCCCAATGTATGCAATTTTTTAAATATAATAATTATAAACATTTAATTATATGAATGAAAGTAATTTTAGTAATATAGTATGGACATGTGTTATTTTCAAAAGCAGTGTTGTGCTGCATTACAAATCTTTGGTTTGGCACAACTTTATTATTATTCCTGTCAAAAGTGAATGAATTGAAAGCTGTAATTACTATCAATATTAATTTCGAATTTCATTCTCATTAAATCTAAAGAAATAAATCGAATTTTACAAAATAATAAAGTTATTTTCTTTTTTAAATTAAATTTTTTTTCGAATTCAATGCTGATTTTAACCATGTAACCAACTTTACTGACTTTATTCGATTCAATTGATTATGCGACTGAATCGATTTACATAATCGAATCGATCATTTTTACATTCTTTATAAACTTTTTATGTATAAGCAAATCGTTTTTAAATAGTATAGCAAATTTGAACTTTATTTTTTTTTTTATTTTTTTAGGTGTTCTAAGTGATATACAAGAAGAGTTTAAAAAAGGAGATGACTGGGGTGGATTATTACAAACAGTTTTTGTTTTATCATATATGATATTTGCACCATTATTCGGTTATTTAGGTGATCGTCATTCAAGGCGTATAATAATGCTTATAGGTGTATTTTTATGGAGTACAACAACTTTATTAGGTTCATTTATGTATAATCAGTCATGGTTTATGACATTTAGAGCATTTGTTGGAATTGGTGAAGCATCATATAGTACAATTGCACCAACAATTATATCAGATTTATTTATACATGATATGAGATCTAAAATGTTAGCATTATTTTATTTTGCTATACCAGTTGGATCAGGAATGGGGTAAATATAATTTAAAAATTCAATTTCTAAAAATCAAATATTGTTTTTCAATTAAATGAGATTTTACTTGTGTATAGTCCTAAATTTTTAATAATACGTTCAATCAAAGATTGTGTTAAAATACAAAATGTGCAAATAACTTAATAAAAAAAATCAATTGAGTTCTTGTTTCGGTCATTTATTTTACTATATTTTTATGCATATAATAATTACGTACATACATATATATTACTTTTAAATTTAATTTGGTCTTCTATCGTAATACTTTAAACTTTGCTTTTTAAGTGATTTTCATCTATAAAACAACTTTTTAAAGGTTGATTTTTATTTAAAAACACAAAAGATCAATTTAATTGAACTCAAAATTAACTAACATCATTTCACACGTTGCTATCACATGATACATTTCTAGTTAAGAGCATCTTTAGCTCACTTAGTTTCATAAATTAGTCTACAAATTAGAAAAAGAATTAATTAATATAATAAACGATGAATTTACCAAGTTTTTTTTTTGCATTTCGATTTATTATATGTATTTTCATGAAATCTATTTATTTTCATCTTATTAACTATTTTTTTTTTAATTTTAAATGTTATTAAATTAATAAGATCACTTGAGCTAACATAATATGTATTCTGAATCATAAATATTCCAATTGTTGTAATAAATCTATCACTCAACGCGCCTCACATATTCAAATTTGAAATAAATTTATTGAAAAAGATTTGATAGAAACTTAACATTATGCAAATAAAGCCAAAATTTAAATTACATTAAAAAAATTATTTGAAAAACACAATTTAGTTTTACTTATTTTATGTTGATTACCTTTGTCAGTTGACCTTTTTTAATTGGCTTTAATTATATTAAGAAAGGTCTAATAAAAAAAAAGAACAATTTTTAAGTAAATTGAATTTAATAATTGATTAAATTGAATTTATGTTGCAAATTACATTGATTTTTTATTTGTAAATCATAATATAATTAAGATAAAAAAGCTATAAGTTATTCAAATTGATTGAATTAAATCAATAAATAATTCAAAAATATTTAAATTATTCGAAAATATATTATTAATAATTTTATTTAGGAAAATTTTCTTAGAACTAATTCATATAACAAGAACTAATAAAAATTATTTTTGAAGTTCGTCAAAAAGGACGTAAAGTAATTCTTCCCAAATTGTAAATTTAAAAATTTATATAATTTCAATTTATTTTGTAAATTTTTTTTGAAAAATAAAAATTCATTTTACATTATTTTTAGATATATTGTCGGATCGGAAACGGCAAAAGCCGCTGGCACATGGAGATGGGCATTACGTGTAACGCCAATTTTAGGTGCAATTGCTGTTCTATTATTATTTTTAATAGAAGAACCAGAGAGAGGTAGTAGTGAAGGTGCCACATCACATACATCAACGTCTTCATATCTAGATGATATAAAATATTTAATAAAAAATCGTTCCTTTATGTTAACAACATGTGGCTTTACATGTGTTGCTTTTGTTACCGGTGCATTAGCATGGTTCGGACCAAAATTCATTCATTTAGGCCTATTAACACAAACTGAAAATAAAGATGTCACAATTAATGAGTAAGTATTTTTATGAAGTATTTTTCCATGTTTTTCTTTACTTACTTATAAAATAAAATTTTTTGTCTTATTAATTACACGATATAATTATGAAAATTGATTTCACTATTTCAAATAGTGTTTCATATAAATTTGGTATCATTGCAATGTTTGCTGGTATGATAGGTGTACCTTTAGGTTCCTTTTTGGCTACACATTTTCGACCAACTCATGAAAATATTGATCCAAAAATATGTTTCTACGGCTTAATGATATCATCTCCACTTGTTTATTTTTCATTGATAACACCAAAATCAGGTTTAGGAGCTTGTTTATTTTTTGTATTTCTTGCAATGACTGCATTAAATTTAACGTGGTCGATAGTAGCAGATATTATTTTGGTAAGTTTCGAATCATATTGGGATATCTTAGCGTTCAGTAATAAAAAAATATGTTTCAAACTAGTATTTAAAATATTCTGGTATTTTGAATATTGATATTTCGAGTTTGCAAAATGAATACTAAAAATAAATAAAGCATTGTAAGATTTAGATCAATGAATTTTTTCTAGAATTAAATTACAATTAGATTATTTTTGAATATCGGAAACGGAGTTCATTATTAGTTAATAGATGGCATTAAAAAATAATTAGAAAATTTTTACAAAAAAAACTTCAAAATTACATTAATTTGAAAATTGAATTCACTCCGATTCTTTCAAGAATTATATGAAGTATTGAGTAATGAATTAATTCGTATATTCAAAAGAAGAATGGTCAAAGCAATAAAAACTTTTTTAAATAAGCATTATTTCTAATTGAACATTATTATTATTATTGCAATTGCTAAATTTTTTAAGTTGTTTAGTTCACTTTTTTTTTAAAAATATCCAGCAAATCTAAGTTTGAATAAAGAAATTGATTTGTGTTTTTTGCTAGTAGTTTGTTGTGTGAATTGTTGATATATTTATTTTATTTATAAATTTATTTTATTTTTAACTTAATTCTCATTCCATAACTAATCATCAATTTTTTAATTGCAATTATAGCGTTTCATTTAAATTTGGTGCTATAACAATGGTAGCTGGAATACTTGGAGTACCACTCGGTTCATATTTTTCAACAGGTTCATATTATCTTTTTTTTTTTTTAAAAAACAATTATGAAAATCTGTTGACAACAACATTTTAATTCGTTTTATTTTCTTTTTCTCTCTTTATCTTCATACATTATTTTGACAACTGCTTTTGTCAAATATATTATGGAATCTAAATAGTTCTAGTCAAAAGATATCCTACAGTGGATCCATTAATATGTGCATTTGGTTTACTTATATCAGTGCCATTACTGGCAGCTGCAATGATTTTGGTATCAAAAAGTGCAATTGCTGCATATATTTTAGTATTTGTCGGAGAATTATTTTTAAATATGAATTGGGCAGTTGTTTGCGATATGACTTTGGTAAGATTTTATAAACGAAAAAAAAAAAAACAAACAGATATAAAAACAATAAATTATAATATTTAATTTTATTTCATTTAATTTTCGAAAAATTGTATTTTAAATGAAAAATTGTCAAAATACAATTTTTATATTAAATTTGAGTATAATTTTAGGAAATAAAATGAAATATCATAATTAAAATATTTTTTTAATATTTCGATATTTTTTTGTTTTTCCTTTTTATTTTACAAAAGCTCTTTTTTTTTAATTATTGAATTAAAAATTTCCATAAATATACTTTTATGTTTTTGTGTAAAACGCAAATTTTAACGGTGATGGTGTGTTTTGTATAAAAAATTTTTTTGTAAAAATAAATTTATGTTAACTTTGTAGATAATTCGTGCTATAATTATACGAATTTGATATGTACACAAAATGTAGTGCATACGTAGATAATTATTAGTTCTTTTTACTAAACTATGCTTTTACTCACAGATATATTCCTTAAACTTTAACTGAAATATATTTAGAATTTCTGATTATTTTATGTAGATAAATAAAACTTGAATTTATTTATTTAAAATATATGTGTATGCAGAAATGTGATATAAATGTAAATAACATACAATATATTTTTTGTATCAAATGTAATTAAACCAAATATTTTATTATTGTCTTTTAATATTTTCAATTTATATCAAATTGTAAAAATTAGGGAATTGTAAAGATATTCCAGTTCCATATCTTTTAAAATACTAATATTTTAAACATGTGAAGTAAATTGTATTTGAGAGAATCAAAAGATTATATTAAAAATTTGGTAACTATTTATTATTCCTTAGATAATTAATTTAAATTTGTTTAAATTCCTTGAATTGTTTTGTTTTATTCACTATTCAAGTAAACTACATTATATAACAACATACTCTGTATCCGAAGTAGAACAAATACATATTACATTTCAAAAGTGAAATTAAAGTGGATAATCAATTGTATATTTTTAAAGGATCCTAAAAGTGCATAAACCGAAATATTCATTTTGATTAAGAAATATATTTCAAATATACTACATGAGTTTCGTGAACGCATTCAATTTTATATATGCATTCATATTTTGCTAATATAAATTTTTATATAAAACACATACATCATAAATTAAATTCAATTTAAATAAACGTATGATACATGTATATACATACATTTCGAAATAATTTTAAATTAAAAAGTAAACAATTGCCCAATCAAATTTGTCAACAATGATGAATAACATTTTCTTTTATAAAAAATTATATTGAACAAGAAGTAACTTGCTTATTTATCAGATGATAAATTGAAGCTATTACAAGAATAAATAAAATTTAGTTTTTCAAGTTAAAATAAAAAATGTACTTTTAATGCCATCTAAGTGTCATATGTTTTATTAAAAGACAATAAATAAAATTAATTTACGTACACACCATCTCTTGAGAGCTTTTGTAAACAGTATTCATTTTGCTTTCGATTTTTTCTATTTGTTTTGTTTTTCTTTTTTTTTTTTTTTGTAAATTGAATTATTTTTAATTAATATTTATAAATTTTTATTTTTTGTTTTTATTTTTAAAATAAAATATGAAATATACATATACAATAATATACATAGTATGTGGTGGTTCCAACACGAAGATCAACAGCTGAAGCATTTCAAATTTTAATTTCGCATGCTTTTGGTGATGCTGGAAGCCCTTATTTAGTTGGAGTGGTAAGTTTTGTAAAAAAATTGCGGAATATAAAAATGTCGATGTAAAAGATTTATTTGATTTAAGACTTTTGCTTAATTTAATACTTTTTAGACTTTACGTTAGCATTTCCAAATAACTATTTACTATAATAAATATTTCAATTCATATGCATACGTACATACAATAATTTCTTTAATTTATATTACGTTAAGATATCGGAAGCTATAAAAAAATATCTAAGAAAATCAGTGGCGGATGCTCCCGAAACCTTATCAGCGGGATTGAAAAGTTTAGCATTAACAGTTGGCCAAGTAAATTCTACAATAAGTGCGACGACTACTACGGCACTATCTACTACAATTGGTTCGAAAAGTTCAGAAATGCCAGATGATTCATTTATTATCCAATTTCAAGCTTTACAATATGCCTTATTTTCAACAAGTTTTATTGAAGTAAATAAAACGAAATATTTTTGAATTATTTTAGTTAGAATAATAATGTTCTATTTAAATTTTAGGTTATTGGCGGAATTTTCTTTTTAATAACGGCTGTGTATATTGTAAGAGATAAATTGCGTGCTGCACAAGAGACTAGGGGTAAGTTGCCAATAAACTATGTATATCTAGATATTAAGCTTCAGTGTTCTTTTAATTTTTTTCTTTCTAATTGATTTATTAAAATTATAAATTTGAAACAGTTTAGAATTCTTATTTTGTATTGTAATTAATAATATATAATTTTTTTATATATTTGTTTATTTTGAAATTCTAAATTGTTTCAAAATATCTGTATAATATAAAATTTATAATAATTAAAAGTTGAAAATAACGATAACAAGAACATTTAAAAGAAACTTATATTTCAATTTTTAATATTATAAAAATTAGAATAAAAGGTGCATTTTATCATTATACTTATATTTATTAAAATATTTTTAGTTAACGAAAACGAAATGAGTGAAGATTCAACGGTTTCTGTGTCCTCAATCATTGATTTAAGCCTACAGCCTCGTGTTTAAAATTTTCTATTTTAAAAATTTGGATCCACAAATTTTGTCTATTTTAGATATTATTTTCTTTATCAAACCTGATTAAGATTTATTTAAGAGTTAAAGGATCTAAAAACTATTAGTAAAATACGTTTCTTATAGGTTGGTGACAATTATTTTTTGAATAAACTAAAAAGTTGCATATATAACATGTTTCCTCCAAAAATTTTAAAATCTGGTTTTGTCTTTGTGCATGTTTTTTTTTATAGTTTCTGTTTTTACTATGTATTGAAATCAATTCAAACTTACTTCGCGTACTAATAACTACAATAAGTTTGTGTAATGTTTGTTTTTAATTTTTTTACTAATTCTGTCTTATAAGTTTTGACAAAATGCATTAAAACGGTTTTAGAATATACGCAATATGATGAACTTTATAAATATAAATTTAAAAAAGTTTATTTTCATAAATGTAATATTAAAAATTTATTGTTCATTTATGTAATGTTCGTTTTCAATGTTTGAAATATATTAGAGTAAAATTTAACTACGTTTCAGTTCCGTCAAGGAAACGAATTATACCCAAATATGATTGAAATTACTGAAGGGGTCATATAAAATCATATAAAACTAACTGAATAAATCAATTGAAATTCTTTCTCACATGGTTCTAAATATTTTTTTTGTTTACTTTATAAAAGTTCGTTATCGTTTTATGTAAGTATTTTATTTCAATGCATTTTATATTCTTGAAAATAAGCAATTTTTATATTAATATAATATTTAATCAAATTTTGCGAATCAAGTATATCCATATCTTGTACAGATCATAATTTTAAAACAAATTTTTTAAAATTCTTATTGTCACTCATAATATTCCGTAATACAAGTTACCGCAAATGCTGCAAATATAAATTTGAATAAGAATTTTCTGAGTCCAAATGTTTCCCAAGCATTCATGTTGAAGTAAAATTATTTATTTACAACTAATTATTATATAACAAAATATTAAAACCAAATGTTTCTAAATACAAATATATTTTGTAAAATTAATTAATAATTATTTCCCAATCTTCAATTTTTCAAATATTTGAAAATATATCTGTATAAACTCACTTTATTACGCTGAAATTTTTCTGTATTGAAAGACATGTGAGCACAAATAAAATGTCTTTTTTGAATTAAAGAAAGTCTTCTTTATTTCAAAATATTTAAAAAATAATTTTTAATATGTTGAAGTCCTCAAATTTTGATTGATTCTAGTTATTATTAATAAAATGTAAATTATGTACTAAAAAATAAAAAATAATTAAATATTTAAAGTTTTTAGTTTTTAATGGTAGTACATAAAATTTTTTTTTTAATTTTTAACTATATTTTCTTACTTATCATTTTTTTCTTTCAGAAAACGAAGTTAATGCAAATTCAAATGATATTTCTACTGAAGCTAGTGAGGAAGAATCATAGTATCGATAATATTAAAAAAAAAACTTTATTACATAAAATGCATATATTTTATACGCATATATATATGTATGTACACATAATTTTATCGTTACTATTAGCACGTTATGTAAAAAAAAAATGAATGACAATTTTTAAGTTAAACCTTAATTATTATTATAAATAAGAATTTTTATGTATAAACATTTTTGTATGCTATGCATGATTGTTTCCTATTTAATTTAATATTCTCAATAATATTATATATGTATTAAAATTTTTTAATAAGTATAAAATAATAATTATAGGAATAGAATCTCCTGCATAATATAATAATTTTTTTTTATTATTTACTTGGAGATCAGAACTGAAGTTAAATTATATATATTTATATATAAATATATTAATTGCTCATAATGAACTTTTTAAAATATTAAAAATATTGAGCTTAATTGAAATTTTCTGAAAATAATTACAATCAAGGTATGAAATTAAAAAGCATTTTGTTTTAATTTTCAACAAATAACTAGGGAACATAAAAATTATTTTGCAAACACACTTTGTTTTTTGTTTTAATTTCAATTTGAAAAATTTTCTGAGTCGAGATCCCGAAATTTTATTCATATTCAATTTAATAAAATCATTTCATATTGATTTTTTAATTAATTACTAAAAAATTTCTAAATTTAATATTAAAGCTCAAATTTTAAAGACTGTTTTGCAAAATATTTTTTATCATTGTTTAAATAAATTTTAATTGTATGTGCAATGTATTGTAATTTCAAAGTTTATTTAATAAATACAGTGATTATTTAATTTGTTAAAATTTCGATAATTTTGTAATGTATTAGAGAAAATAACCTATGTCCATCCAATTAATTATGCCCATATAAATAAATTAAAATTTTATTAAAAATTTTCGTTGAGTTTCAATTCTTCAAAATTTTCTTATTCAAAAAAAAAAATTCTAAAACTTAATTTTTTATGTTAGTGAAAGCACAATAACAATTGTAATTTTTATTTTGTAATAAATAAAGTTAAATTTAAGAACTTTCAGTTTTAAAGCAAAACAAAATTATTAGATTTGCCTGTAATATAACATTTGTAAATATTTATTAAGAATTAATAAGATTCATTTCAATTGTTATTTTTTTTTTAATCAAATCATTTGGTATTTGTTCATTTTCATTTATTATATTATATATGTATGTACTAAACTGTTGAAACAAATTGTGCGTGTTTGAAGATTAAAATTTGGTGAAATTGAAAAAAAATGTGTAGAGATTAATTGAAAATTTAGCTTAAGTATAACTCTATTGTAATAAAAATTAATTTTAAAAGTATAAAATATTTAAATAAATAATAATAGCTTGAATTTTATATAAAAAAAAAATTGTGACTTTTTTTCTGTTGCATTCGAATTATAAAATAAATTAAGTGATACTAATGAATCGTTTTTTATAATTCCAATTTTACACTAATCGTACCTGTGACTGAAAGGAAATTTATTATTACTTAACAAAGAATTGCTAATAAAACTAATGAATTTGAATATAAATAGCAATCAATATGTTTTCACAATTGTACATACATATGTATGTTACTTGAACAGATATACACATTAGGGTAAATTGATGGAAAGATGGAAAAACCAATATTTAAATTACAACGTGTTAAAAGTTTATTTAATTATTAAAACATTAATATTTTATTTTTTAAAATGAAATTCAAAATATCATTTCAACATAAATACATATTAACTAAATTTAAACTAAATTGCGATTTACAACAAAATCAATGTGCAGTACGAAACGTGGAATTTTACAACCATTTCTTGAGCATCCATTTCTTTTTTGATGAACAAGTAATTTTACACGAGTGATGAACTTTTCACCACAGGAGCATTCAATGTACTTCTCCGGTATATGATGAAGCATATGAAATACGAAATTAACTTTATAGCAGCTATAGTAGTTACATATGGAACACTTATATATTAGTTTTGAATTTATTCTATCATTTAAATATTCTGGAATAACTTCATCAGTTTTCCCTTCAATATGTTTTAGTAAACGATTTATTGGCCACTCACCATGTTTAGAATGTTTGTGCACTAGAAATTCTAATAGATTTTTATATTCAATTGAACAACATTCAAAACTGGATAAATCTAATTTTTCCAACCACTTTTTTTCTAAATTTGTGTGTTCAAAACTTTCAAAATGCTTCTGAAAATCACCCATAAAAAAGAAGTATTTACAAATATGACATAAAGAATTGATTTTAGAATAATCGGTTGGTTCTGTTATTAAAACCTCCTCTCCATCATCAGAATATTCAAATTTTTCAAAATATGAGGCAAGAGTACATTTATGATGATACTTATGTCTATGTTTTACCAATTCACTAATTTTTCCAAAAACAGACATATTGCGATCGCAAATTTCACATTCGAAAGGACCTTCAATATTAAATTCCTCCAACCATAACTTTTCTGCATTCAAATGAAATTCTCTGTCAAAATGGGCCCTAAAAATATTAATTATTAGTTTAACGAAATACAGAAATTATATTTTTTACATGTAAGCTCTGTTGTTATATGAATTAGTCTTGCACATTATACACCAAAATTTTAGTTTCCTTTCAACTTTATCATCATTTACATTCTCACAGGTATTGTCATTACTTTTTGATTCTATGAATGTCTCTAAAAACTCTTTTGAAATATAATCCGGCAAAGTACATGAATCTAATGATCCACAATGAAATGCATTTAAATGAAGGACAATTTTTGTATACTTCTGAAATGATCGACCGCAGCAACATTTATAAGGGTTTTTTCTATCATGAACTAAGTTAAAGTGATCATAATAAATTAGTTTTGATTTAAATACTTGTTTACACTCATAACAAAATTTATTTTCATCAGGATTGCAAACATTTTCATGCATTTGCATTAAACGAAAACTTGCATTTAATTTTCCACATTTCGAACAAAGTAAACTACGTTGGGCATGAAATAGTGTAAAATGTTTATCTAAAAGTTTATGTGTGTTAAACTTTTTTGGACATTGGTCACATTTGTATTTATCCACCGTTTTTTTCGTTGACGTTTTAGGCTTTTCTGGAAATGGAATTTCAGTGAGACCATAATCACTGGAATCGGTTGAATACTCTTCTACTTCTGGAGTAATTGTAGGTTCTTCATCAAAAATAGGTAATTCGTCTTGTTCCATCTCAGTACAATCACGATCCAATTCAAGTGGTACATTTTCGTTAAGAAGTCCTATATCCTCCCGGATTTCAAAATTCTTATCAATAGGATTGAAATTTTCTATAATTTTCATAAATTCTTCAAAACAAGAACAATTTTTTAACATAGTGTTTTTAATTTTCTCTTCAAATATTTCTTTGTATAAATCGCACTGTATTCCAATTTCATTAACTGGTTTTTCAGAATTGTTTACAAAGGATTCTTCTTTTGTAAAAACATTTTTATCTGATTTTTTCCCCATGAACAGCTCTTTTCCACTATGAGTCTCGTGTATTGTTTCACTAATACTCAGAAGTTCTAATGGATCTGTTTCTGAAATAAATATTTTTTTCAAATAAACTTTTTATTTTAATTATATATATATAAAACCTTTCGCAGATTTCTCTTTTATTTCTTTCTTGTGATTCTGAAAATAATTAAATTAGGGTTAGTTAATGAAATAAAAAACTTACAAATGTTATTTTCTTCTAAATTTTATACTCGCTTACAGTGTTGCCAAATTTTTTTTTATGTTCACTAAGGAAAAACTCGCAATCATTGAACCATTTCCATGAAGAATTTTTGTTGGGGTCTTTTAAAAATTTAAAAAACTTCAATCTCAAATATGTTATTCGCTTCTTTAAGCTACGAACTAATTTTAGATATTGTTAAAAATTTAATATTTTATATTGAAATACAAGTAATAACTAACTTGAAAACGGAGGAGAAAAAGTTTTTCCAAAATCTATTAAAATGTTGTTTTTAAAATCAGAATCATAATATTTTGGATCTTTACGGCTGTAGAAATAAGGCTTATTCTTAATAAATTGGATGATTTTATATAAAATTGAATCGTTTTTGATGTCCTAAAAAGAAAAATTAATAAAATCTCAGCCATGGAAAATCAATAAACTTGGGTGTTAATTACCTCTTCATCGCTTAAATATTTGTGAGTCTCATTTTTCGATTTTAAAAAAAACTTACAATCTTTGAACAAATGCCATTTATTTTTATTATTAGTTTTTAAAGCCTTAAAAAACTTTGATCTCAAGTACAGAATTCTATTTTGAATTAAGTTCACTTGAATTTTCAAATATTTAATATTTAGCTTTTAATAATAATGTGTATATGATTACCTGCTACTGGTGGGGTCAATGATGCTGCAAAATTTTCTAATATTTGTTTTTTTGTTGCGGTATCCGAGAAGCTTGGATGTCCTGAGTCCCACAAAAAAGGTTTATCACTGATAAAATTTATTATAGTAGGTAACATTTCACCCTTCAAATGGAAATTTTCCTACAATTAAATATGCACGTATTTGCATTTCAATTGGCAAATATCAAAATTCGAGAGAATTTTACGTTATCTATTTCAACAATTTCAGGCATATCGCAATCTTTTTCCATTTTGACAACATTTCCAAACTCCTTCCCCGTTTGAAACTCGTTTCCTAAAAAATTAGTATCTAATTTTTTGATAACCTACTTAATCGAATATCCAAATAGGTACCTTTTAAATTCAAGTCGAATTCATCGATAAAAAGATTATCTATTTTAGTCTTCATATAGTCCTCTTGTGATATATCTAATATTAGCTTTTTAATTTCTTTTTTCTCATTTAGAAAATTTTCTTTAACAATTTTGTATAAATTTTCTGGGAGCTCACCAAATAATGAAACATACATAAAATAGTATTTTTGAAAATTTAAAGGAAAATTAAAGGATGTATTATATTTCTCAATTGATTGTCTCATTTGTATCAAATTATTTCTAATTGAAGTTATTTTATCTAGGACATCTTTTCCTGCATTCATTTAAAATAAATAAAAGGATTTTATGTCTAATGAAATACAAAATGTTATACCAGTTTTAGGTGGATTGAATAGTTTGCCGAGATCTGCACATTCCCTTATTACATTATACGTTTTATAGTCGGGATGATTTCTATTATATATATGATCTTTTCCTTGTAAGTGTTTTAATAAAATATTTGTACTTTCGTCATTCTTAAATTAATTTTAAAATTAACTTAGTTTAAATTACTACAACTACTAATTTTTACCCAACTTGATGACATGTTTTTGAGCCTATTATCTCTATGTTTTGTTAAAAATTATTTAGCTTAACTACCTTTAATTCTGAGTAATCAGGCTTGTTCTAATTCAAACAAAATCCTTAAATCCAAAATACGTACTACTTAAGCAAAATATGAATTTACATAAAAATTTGTGCTTCAATATAAGTATTACACATACTATTGTATTGTCCTATTCCAACGACGGGTGATATTTTTGTTATGGAAAGATTCCTACAATGTTTGCCTTTGTGTTGGAATTGTTAATTTTTTCAAAATACTATTGTTATGAAAATTCAAGATATATTCAAGATATAAAACAAGATATATTTTGTTTACAATTTATTTACAATTTACTTTTCTATAATTGATTCAAAAAACACAATTTATAACAAAATAGCTAAACTAAACTGTCAAGAGAACTTATTTGATTGCAGCAATGACGTGCTGGGGCTGCCGTTTGTTTTTCTCGAAAAAGGAGTTTTTTCAAATAAAAAAAGAGTATTTGTTTTTAAAGGACTCGTCTATCTCGCTATTTGGCTCGGAAAGTAAGAAGAAATTGATTATTCTGGTATAATGTAATTTTCGAGTGAGAAGAATTATTTGGTATTGCGTATTTCGTTTTTTTCTAAAATGCATACAAAATTTATTAACTTTATTTTTGAAACTGAGACGTTCAGCCGATAATTTGAGAGAAAATGGAAAATCCAATTGAAAAAATGAGAAATCTTATTGGAAAATTGAAACATCCATTAGAAAATACTGAGAATTCTGATTTGAAAGCAAATAAATGGTGAATAAAAAAGATACGCGATCAGGCTACAACAGTTTGATTTCCGACTTAATATATGTTTTAATAAATACAGTTTCGATTAACTCAGATATAAGTTCTTACTGAACTACTAATCTGATATTTGCTATATTAGAAGTCTGATTATTTGCTTTAAACTATTTTATATTTAACAATGATCTTATAGTTTCTGAATGAAGCAATTCAGCAGTAAGACAATTTTACAATTTCAGTATACACTCCTCGCTTAACGGAGGAGCGAGGGAGTGTATACTGAAAGTTTATCAACTTTACATTTTGGAAGCTAGTGTTATTTTGACGGCCATTTGAACTGACGCTATTAGGATAGGTTTTTAAAAATTATTGTAATATTATGTATGAAGAAAATTCGAAACTGAATAAAATTATTTTTCAGTCTATTATATATCTCTTGTCTTGACATAAAAAAAAATATTATTTTGTTAGTCGTTACCTTTCTGTCAAATCAAACATTTCAATGAAATGTCAAAGTCAAGATTTGAATTTCACAAAGTTGGTAAATAAATGTTTTACTAAAGGAGTTAATTTAATGTTTACATAAACAATAGTTACAAATTTTGAAATTAGCGAGCTATAAGGGTTTTATTTAAAAAAGAAATAAGAATGGTAGAACATTTCGCTTCAGTTGTATCCATCCTAACATAATATAGTGCACGTACATAAATATCAAATGTAATATAAAGTAGTCTATTATATTACGACCTAAATATATCTCACCTATATCTCATTATTTACAAGTTCAGTTACGTAGCATATACATACATGTAAGTATGTATATATTGCAAGTTACATATTCATACTACATTCCATCATGTTTCGTAATTTATTTGAGTTTCAATTTAAATATATACTTAAATTTAATATAATGAGTTGGCACTTTTAAGTTTGACAAATAAGTTTTAGAAAATTCCAAAAATTTAAGAATTACAAATTATTAATATTCTGTACATCAACGGAGTCAAATTTTAAAACAAAATGTAGTTTTTGTATTTTGAAGTTAAAGGATTCATTACTTGATTGCTTATCAAGAAATCCCAAATATTCTTATTCAGAAAAACAAAAATATTTTGATTTAAAAATTTGAAATTTTTAATAATAGAAAATTTAATAAATATGTTTTCTATTTGATAGTTACCTACACCAGTACCTGTGTTAGTTAAGTAATGTAGAAATTTGGATTGGTAAACCTTGTTAAAAATGTTTTAAACCTCAACTAGTATTTAATATTTGTGAAATTAGTTAATGTAAGTACTTATTACCAATTTATATAAATAAATCCACACATATTGCTCATTCTACAAATTCTTCACATTTTATAGTTTTTATTAGTATTTTTATAGGACAATATCAAAAATAAAAATGCGTTTCCGACAAATTCTAAAATATTCTTTGCTTGGCAGTGCTTGCTTGAGTACAGCTTTTAGTTTAAGAAGTAATGATTATGAAATATACTCATTAGGAATAGTTCGTTTAGCTCGTTCAACAATTGCTGTAATTGACATAGCACAGATTTACAAAAAGGAAGTTTATTATAAAAAATGGGATGAAAAATCTGAAGAGTATGATGAAGCTAAGAGTCGAGCGCATAAATATGCTGCAGATCGCCTTTTGGATTTAATATGCAAAAATAAAGGAGTATATATCAAAGTTGGACAGCATATTGGAGGTCTTCAATACTTATTACCGCCAGAATATGTAGACACAATGAAAATTTTGCACAATGATGCACCAAGTAATCCAATTGAGGATTTATTTAAAGTAGTTAAACAAGATTTGAAAAAAGATGTTAAAGATATATTTGAAAGCTTTGATCCCGAACCGTTGGGAACAGCATCACTTGCTCAAGTACATAAAGCAAAGTTGAAAACCGGAGAAACGGTTGCAGTTAAAATTCAACACCCTTATGTAAAAGGAAATTCTTTGGTTGACATGAAAACTATGGAAATTTTAGTTAAATTAATGACATTCATATTTCCAGATTTTAATATTCAATGGCTAGTCGATGAAACAAAAAAAAATTTACCTCAAGAATTAAACTTTTTAAAAGAAGGACAAAACGCTGAGAAGGTAAATCTTATTTATTTCGTTGTAGTAATTAATTAACACATGTAATATTATTTAGGTGTCATTGCAATTTTCAAAATATGATTGGATAAAAATACCAAAAATTTATTGGAAATTTTCCACACCACGTATTTTAGTTATGGAATTTGTAGAAGGAGGTCACGTTACTGATGTGGAATATATCAGAAAGAATAAAATTGATCCATTCGATATTTCAACAAAAATAGGAAAACTATATTCCGATATGATATTTATAAATGGTTTTGTACATAGTGACCCCCATCCGGGGAATATACTAGTTAATAAAAATTCAAAAGGAAAAAGTCAAATTATATTATTAGATCACGGATTATACGCACAATTAACCGATAAATTTCGTTATGATTATTCAAATTTATGGTTAAGTATATTACGCGTTGATCGTGAAGGAATGAAGAAACATGCAGTTAATTTAGGTATAAAAGACGAACTGTACGGGCTTTTCGTATGTATGATAACAGGAAGACCTTGGGAGTCTATTATGAAAGGACTCGATCGAACTAAAAAAACAGCTGAAGAAGTAAATAATATTATATTCCAATTTTAAATAACAAAACGTATTATCTTTTAGAGAAAACAAATTCAACGTGATACACAAAAGGTATTGCCTCAAATTGCTGTAGTTCTCGCACAAGTTGACAGACAAATGCTTTTAATAATGAAAACCAATGACCTTATAAGAGGTATAGAAACAACATTGAAAACTCATAATCGGATGACCGCTCTTTGGGTTATGTCAAAGTGCTGCACAAAATCGTCATTTGCTGAAGAAAGAAAAAAGTCAAACTATCATGGCATTAAAAAATTCCAATTATTCATGGAAGAAAATTGGGCTATCTTGAAATTAAACCTATATTATATATATCTAGGCATAAAGAACTTCAGTCTGATATCAAGCTTAAAACAAATTTATTTTCAGTAAAAAATACTTTGATAGTCAATAAAAAACCAAAATATGTTTATTAACTACATTAAATTTTTTTCTATTGCATATTGAAATTACAATATGTGTATGTGCTTTCGGTTTTTTTTATTTTAATTTATATAGCAAGGTTAAAAGGCAAAGACGTGACATTCCAAAAGCCTAGATTAGGGATATATAAGTTTAACCATACTCAATGATAGGCCATATCAAACGAAAATAATTATAAATTGTTCTATTCGTATTGAGGAAAAAGACTGATATGTATACAATACACATGGTCTGCCTGTTTCTAAAATTAATATATGTATACTCATATTTTTATAGTTAGTCTCTAGTCACATTTTCTGTATTTTTAGACTTAACTTTTCGAACAATTAGATATCACAAATTTAATAACAAAAATTACAAGCCATTACTTAAATTAATTTTTTTTTTATTTTTCCCTTTCAAAATTTATACTGACATAGTTGAAAAGTAACAATTTCAATAATTAAAATATGGAGCTTACAAGAAATATGTTCTTGGTTTTCTGAAAGAGAACAATTTACGATTTCCTTTATGTTGCACTCTTTTACATAATGGGAATTTAATTTTGGAATCATGGAACTGCTTAATGTGTGGACGTCTTGTTTTACTAGCAGCTACCGGTTCTACTTTAATTATTTGAATAGAATGTGCACGAGCACGATGACGGGCCCCCATATCACGATAGCATTGCGTTACAGCCCCTCCAACAGTTAAATCACGATATTCGCGATACATGTTATGTGTACCAGAACGCGAATCATAACGCAACCATATACCAAAGTTTTTAATTTTAGTTGGTGAAGTTTCATATATTTGTTTAACTGATACTATTTCTCCAGTAGTCTTCTTGAATTTTTTTAATTGCCGTAAAAAGTACCAAAAACGTGATTTAGCCACTATTCTATCTGGTGCGAATATTCTCATTTTATATAGTGGTGTTTGTGGCTCAGCCTCTGTGGGCAATTTACGCCCGATCACTTCAAATTCTTTCAACTAAAAAAAAAAAAAGTAAGAATTACAAAAACAATAAGGTTTGATAAAATATTTAGAAGATAAATTAAAATAAATTTTTTAATCAATTACGAATCATAATAGGCAATAATAATGTATGTGTATGTTCATATTTTCAATATAAATCCATTTTTACCTAAAAATAAAAAAAAAAAAAACATTTTAAAACGATGAAAGAAAAAATTATTCAATTTGTTGCAATGTGAATATATCAGACAGCCAAGAGATGGAATAAAATCATATAGTTTCATAAATAATGCGAAACTAAATAAAAATCATCATAAAATTTTTGCATTTCATAAACTTAACTATAAAATTTGACATTTTGATCCATATAACACATGGACAGATACAAAAATATTAAATATATTTAATATTTCTGAGCAATTTGGGGCCAAATTTTATGTTTCAACAAATTTATTGCAGAATGCATTCCTTGTATTTCTTTATTTTTGTGATATATTAACATTATTTCCAAAATAATTTTTATTTACCTGTCCTTTTGCTTTCATCTTTGTAGCATTCCACGAAAAAAGGAAACGGAAAGAATGAAACCGGTAAAAGTCAAAAATAAAATTGACGTTACTCACAAGAGTGCTGCCATTGTTTCTGTAAATTGAATTCAAATTCAAAAAATAGAACAAATTTCAATTGAGTGATAGCGCTGTACTCTTGTTCCTCCAAAAGTCGTTTACTTCTTGCATGTATAGTTTTTTCACTACGTTTCGCCCCTCCTTCCGACAAATTTAATTTTGTAGTTTTGTACTTATGTCCAAAAGGTCAAAAATACATGTTGTGCCGATGATCTCGATAATGATATGAAATTATTAATCTTATTGAACGTAGACTTTTTCTTCTTAAGTAAAATAGTAAATATATAACAATATAATATAAAATAACTGTTTCCGTGTATGACAAAGTCTGGGATTTATCCGATTTTGTCGTATATGTAAATCCTGTTTGAAACCAGACTTCATCTGACGGCAAATAATAGAAATTATATTCTATTCTCAACAACAATTACTGTCACATTTTTAAAAGTTATGTGACAAATTATTTTTTGTGAAAGTTTTGAACAGCGATCAGCTGATTTTTAAGTAAAAATTTTCGAATTAATCTGTTAAATTTTGTTGCAAAGTCTGATAGTTTCAATTTGATACAGTCGTTAAAATTTATCTTAAATTTAATTTTTGATTTTTGCCGTATTTGGTATATAAAAACAAATTAAGTAAAATATTAATATAATTTATATTTCATTATTTTGTTTCACATATGCTTATACAAAGCAAAAAACAACTTACATTTGAAAACCTTAAATAAATAAAAAATTCTTCCCGAGGACGTCATTTTTTCAATGTCAAAATTTTCTAATAGACTCTGTAATTATTAGACCATGATTATAAGTTAATTGTCAAAATAGTTGCTTGTTGAAAACATTTTTATTTTATAAATTTATATAGTTTTTATACATATGTGGGCTTATTTTGTTACATTTGCTATACGCTTACACTTTATATGATAAATTAAAAGATAAATTAATTTGTTTAAAAAATTTAATAAGAAATACAATAGTTTTGCTCCAAAGTAATAGAAAGATCAATTTACATATAAATTAAAAGCAATATAGAAATAATTGGTAATTTCTTTTCCAAAAATTTCAAAATCATAGAAGAATGGCTAACAGAATATGGAATTCTGGGAATAAACTTCCTAAATATACATTTAAACATGTTGGTTCGCTGAGCTATACGGAAGATGATATATTAATTTACACGTTATATATTTCAGCGCCACTTAAAAAGGTTTGTCTCAAAATTTAATAACATATATTGTAATAAATTTAAATTACAATTATTGGTCATACATTATTATAAATTATTTTTTTAGACTGATTCAAATAAATTAAAAGAATATTTTTCTACTTTCGGTGAAGTTGAAAGTGTCAACATTTTTATTAGAAAAAAATGTTCATATAGTGGCAACAATCGCACTTTCAGTTTCGTAAGTATAAAATTTCATGAGTAAATAATTGTATTAACAAGGGATTTATTTTGTAGGCGTTTGTCTGCTTCAAAGAAGCCGAATCAGCATCAAAAGCACTAAGACGGAAGGCACATTTTTTTTGTAATAGAAATATAATAGTTCGCAGTGCGGATAGTTGGAAACAACCTTTTCAAAAAAAATTAAATAAATCTGAAGATGAAGTTATTGATTGTGAAAATACAAGCTATTCAATTTTAAATTTAAATGATGACTGTTTGTTTATCATATTTAAATATCTACCTTTTAACGAACAAATAAAAATGTCAACACTTTGTACACGGCTGGAATACATTTTTGAACTAATTTATAAAACTTCAAAAACCCTTGATATAGATTTAGAAGAATCATTAACGTTAATGGATTTCCGTCAAGGTAGAAAATTAATTCAATTCCATGCGTAGTTACATAAAGCGTACAAACTTCATGTAAACTTTGATTTTTTTAGGGTTACAAAAAATTGGTCATCACATTGAAAACATAACTTTTAGTTCTGGATTATCTATGAGGAATTTCACTCGTTTTATAGACTTTGTATCAAAATTTTGTCCAAATTTATGCAAATTGCGTTTGGATTCACTTCATTTTAAATATACTGAAATTTTTCACAAAATTTCAACAAAATTGCATACTATTTGCCATTTAGAATTGAAAAATTGTTCCATAAATGATGAAATGATGAATTTACTATCCAAAATAACAACCATTGAATACTTGGATTTGACAGATAATTATGAAATAACGGGCTTGTATTTGCACAAATTCAAAAACATCAAAACTTTAATATTAAATTCTTGCGCCAACATCCAATCATCATTTTTTATCAAAATGTGCTCTAAGACAACAAACCTAAGGGAATTAAACATTCGTCTTTGTGACCGACTAAATACCTGTGCTTTTCAAGCTCTAGTTGAAAATTTAAATGAGTTGGAAACTCTTACAATATGTACTTGCTATCAAACAAATGAACTTGAAAAAATTACTGAATTAAAAAGTCTAAAACATTTAACAATAAATCAATCTAGTAACAAAACTGACCCACTGTTTTCTAAATTAGCTAATGAAAAAAAAGATCAGTTAGAAACTTTAAAGGTTACCAACTTCTCCCATAGTGATATTAAAGGAAGCGCTATAACAGAGTTGGTTAAACTGAAGCAATTAGATTTACCATATGCTGTATGTACTGATAAGTTTATACAAGATTTGTTGAAACTGAAGGATTTAAGAATTCTAAATATCCCCGGAGTTATAGTTTCCAAGGATTGTATATTGAAATATATAACAAAGGCAGTTAATATTGAGTTCATTGATTTATCAAGAAGGGAAGGATACGGTGATGAATTTCTAAAAAATGTTATTGAAATATTAAAGAAACAAAATCGTTCCCAGCCTTTAACGTTAAGAGTTGAAGAGGATCCAAGCACGGATGTTAAAGAAGAGGTATTAAGATAAAATAATATAATTTAAAAATCTAAAACATTTTTTTTCATAGAAAACATTTTTACGTGAAAATAGAAATATTTTAAGAATAGATCCAAATAAAACAGATTACGTGATGGAAATGTTTGATTCCAATTTTCATTTTCTATCAGATGACGAGGATGATGATGATGATTACAATACAGATTTTGAGGATAATTTATTTGATTATGATGACTTGGATAGCGATAATTTGTTTGATGATGACGAATATGATAGTGAAGATTATAACCAAGTAATGGATGAGCTTGCTGAATATGGTAACTAAAATAGCAAATTTCATTTTGAAATTTGAATGTTATAAAAATATAAAAGCTTATATTTATCCTATTTCAGATCTCGTCGTTAATATTCTTTTTTGAATAATTATGTACATACACCTAAGAGTTATGATTAAATTATTTTAGATGTTTCAAGAAATAAATAAAATTTGTAATGAAAATTTTAAAACTACTAATTTTATTTAAATATGCTCTAATTTTACTCGCATCTTTAGTTTATATAAAATAATATGTAGTGTTAAGCTTTAAATTTTATGAGTCTTCAATGGTAAATCAAATCGATAGCAAGTCCCCATAATACATATGTACGCATAACGGAAGCCTAATCTGGATTTTTGAATAACTTATTCGTTCTAGAATTGAGTTTCAAAGCCATATTGCTGTATTATTAGTCTTTAAAACATATATTACAAATTTTAGATTGTGTAAAATTCAATTTGAATTCTCGATCACTTATTCTAATTAAGTTAAATTACCCCAGGATCGCATTCAAATCGCGGTACACAAATTTAAATTTCAAATTAAAACACAGTTTTCATTCACATTATGTATTTATTTATTTTTAATTCTTAAAATTTCTTGAAACTTTTTTTTGCACCAATACTCTTAGTTACTTTAAGAACATTGAAACGCACTGTTTTTGAGAGTGGTCTGCATTCACCAATTGTTACAATATCGCCTAATTCAACATCTCTAAAACATGGCGATAAATGAACACTCATATTTCTATGTCTTTTTTCAAATCTGCTGTATTTTTTGACATAGTGCAAATATTCCCGGCGAATAACAATGGTTCTCTGCATCTTCATCTTTACCACAGCTCCAGTTAAAATTCTTCCACGGATTCGAACATTACCAGTAAATGGACATTTTTTGTCAATATAATTTCCTTCAATTGCTTCACGTGGAGTTTTGAAACCCAATCCTATATCTCGATGGCGGCGAAGCAATTTTTTTTTTTTCAAAGTTGGATTAGCTTTGCGATTCAAATTAATGCCAAATTGCTTTTGGAAAGCTTTTTCATTTTGTATATCAGCCATAGTCCAAAATTTTTCACCTTAAATTATAATGTTTTAAGAGATATAGTTACAATATTTTCAACAAATATAAGAAAAGATACAATTTTTTGTAATAATTTTAAAAATTTCAATTAATTAAATCAAAATATCTTAAAATAATTTTCACCTTGTTTTTAACCACGTTTAGAAGATTCGTGAAAGGGAGGAAAAAGAATTGTTTAAGGTGAGGTTATGACATATTGGAAAATGCGTCGATGCAAAAACCCAGTTCACAAATTTTTTTGTGTCAAACAATTGTTTCATTCAATTACCAATTGAAATCACTTTTGTTTGATTAGTAATTTCAAACAAAACTTTTTTGGTGCTTTCTATAAAGCTTCAAAACGCCAATTTGTAACGAATTTTGACGGATCCATATTGAACTATCATGGTTCCCTCCACAAACCTGACATCCAAATTCTTTTAGAAATAAAGTGTTAAGTGCTGGAATCTTACCAAAAGATGTTAATTAAAAATTGTTAAAATTGTTTTAAATTTCTGCCAATTCCTAGTTGGTTAAGAGCCTAATTGTGTATCGCGCTATTTTAGTCGGAAACTGAGAAGAAAGTGAGTAACTAACATAAAAGTTTTTCACTTTGTTTTTGAAGGTGACACATTCACTTGAAAATTTGAGAAAAAATGAGTAATCTTATTGAAAAGTAAAACATCCATTGAGTAAAGCAAAAAAGCAAGATACACGATTAGGCTGTAAATTTAATTTTACTGACTCTTGGTATTAACGCAATTTGCTTGTAGCAAAAAAACTCAAAAAAATGCGATATCTACTATTAGGAGAGTAAAATTTACTGTACGATAATAAACAGAAGGTGGGGTTTGGGGAATAAGAAAGGTGATTTGGGGCTACAATTTTGCCAGAATGATTTAGTACTATTATACTTTAATAAATATTTTCATTTTTTTGGCACTTTACTTTTATGATGTGGGAGTAAAATTTCCTTACGATTGTCAAAATTAAAGTACTGAAATTGTTCTGAAAAATTAAAGTACTGAAATAGTGCGTTAAGCTTCCGGCTATACATATACATACATATATATAGTTATAACAGAATATAGATAAAAGATAAAAATTATATTAAAACTTTCTTTTGAAATACTATGGAAATGAAAGACATTATGAAGTAGTTTTGGTACAAATAATTTAAAATGTATTAAAGTTGTTTTGGGTATTCAAAATTTTAGAAATATTTTAAGGTGACAAACTAATGTATGTAATTTAATAAATTTAAATTTTTCTTTATCTTTTTATGCAGATTAAGCAAAGAGAAAATTGTAAAAAATCTTTATAGATACCCTTGTATATAACATGTAATTTAATATATATGTACATATATTTTCTAATAAACTGGTTTCTTTTACAATTATTGCATGCTTTTTCGCATGCCTACTAAAATAATTTGGAAACACTATGAGCAAAATTTTCTAAAGATAGCTTTTCTGCTTCCTCATTAGCGTTATCTTTTGTTTCTTCTGAATATATGACAACAGGAGTTTTTCCATAATCGGCATTTTCATCGTCCAAATGACAAAGCATCTCGTCATCTTCGTAAGTAGGAAAAAAAAATTCTGCTTTGTCCCACTGACTTTTTTCGCCAATAGTATAATGCTTGTTAGCTTTTAAATGTTCTTCAAATAATTCATGACTATTAAATCTTTGTTTGCAATCAATACATTGTAAAATATGAACTTGACGTCGAACAAAATTAACTATTTTGACTCTCTCATAAAAATTCAATGCGCTTGTAAGCTCGTCAAAATTAATATAATGTTCTTCAAGCATGTGTAATTTTACATTATTGAAATCGCTATTTTTGTAAGCACAAAATAAACATTTTATGCTTCTATTTTCCTCTTCCCAGTCTGACCAATCAGAGTCTGCATCATCATCACTCATGATTCTAAAAGTAATTTCATTCTTTAAATATTTCTCAATATTTAAACACATAAGTGAAATATATTTACGCTTACATATTTCTGTTATTTTCTTTCCGATTAAAATTTGAAGTTGAATTTCTAAAATTGTTCGCCAACGTTTTATCATTCTCTGTTTCACGAGATTTTTTATTAAACTTTTTCGTACGTTTTGGTTTTTCAGTTTTATAATTTATAAGGAAAAACTTATCATAAAATTTTAAATCTGGATTTATTCTTTTGTGACCTTTTTTTCTCATATGCTCCTTTAAAGTACATCGATCTTTAAAAGTTTTTTCGCAATAAAGGCAAATTAAATTTTCTAATTTACTTTGCACAATGTCTATTAACTCATCAATGAAAACCAGGTTTTCTGCTTTTCCTAATTGAACAAAATGTTTATTATATAAGTGTTCTAAAAAGTCTGATCTTGTGCCTTTTATAATGTCGCGGCAGTGTATACATTCTTTGCAAAATGTACGATCAGTTCGTTCAAATTGATGTTGTGCCAACACTTTTTCTAAACGAGATATATGCAATTTTTTTCGAATTTCCAAGTCTTTCGGAAGAATATCACTTAATAAGTAGTATTTCTCATCCTTTGAAGGCGCGCCATCTGGCAATTGGTCTAAAAGCATAGTTGTACAGAAGTGCTCCAATCCATGTTCTTTCAATTCTTTCGACCAAAATATAAGATATTCTTTTAAGTCTGCTATATCTTCAATGTCAGCTATAACTAACCGATGAATCAAAAATAAATGAGCAAGATATTCATCTTCTTCTTCCGGAAATGTAAATTCTAAATCACATTTTAAACAAACTACTTTCTCTAATTTATCACTATTTACATTTTCTTCGGTATTTAAAGTTAAAGACGATATTATATAATTTTTCTCAGTTGCTTCCTGTCTATTCATTTTCTTATATTACAGTTGTAGTTATTTTGTTAAAAATTTGTTTCTTGACAAAATACCACTTTGCAGTTTCTTTACTAATATGTACTTTCTTTAGATTTCTTTTCTTTAGTTTTTTTTCGTTTTGACAATTGACAATTAATGCAATGTTGCCATCTATATTTTCTTTAATTCAAATTTCTGTAAGTTCATTATTTCTGTAAGTTTTTTAAATGGAATATTTTTCTACTGTAAAAACATTTTTCTCTCAATTTTATGTTGTTACAATTTTATCTTGAACAAATTTCGTTATTTAAAACCAAAATATTTATTTTTGTCCAAAAATTTATTTATTGTTTTTATTTCTAATTTCTTTCAAAATTTCATTATGGCGTTGAAGTGTTTTGTTAATTTTAAAACTTCTATGGCGGAGATTTTTTCTTTCTTTCGGTTGATTAAGCTTGTTGAAAAATTTATTTATCTCGATGGCTATATCGATATTGCCAGGAATTTGTATTTGTCTTATGTTTCGAACGGGTATTAAAAAATTGTCCAATTCATACTTCATATTTTTCTGGTCAATGAAAACCACCTATGTATTTTAAAATCAGAATTAAATTATTAAATAGTTTGATATACAAATACATATTTCAAACAAACTTCTTCCAAAGTAATGTTCATAAATCCATCTGCATTCACTATTTTTCCAGCTACAGATGTTTCATTATTCATGTCAATTAGAACTGATTTTCCAATAAGAATTAATGGAACTGCTGCTAAGGTATTAAAAGTATGAAATTTTTCACGTGCTGAAAGGGAGTTCATGATGTCGAATTTAATTAATGTATCTTTGTTGGCTGGGTTTGATAAGCCAATAAATTACAGTTTTTAATCTGTTTTTCTCTTTAAACGAAAACTCGCATTGGCGGTGTTTCAATTATGCTTAAATTTTCTTTAAACTCTTAAATTTGTTGAGTTTTTTTTAACAAAAATATTAACAACTCAATAACTCGAAAATAAAATTTGTTTTTTCCATAAGACATGAAGATGTAAAAATAAACATGTAAAATTTATGCACGCACTTGTGTATTATAAACCACGGCTTTTTGTAATGTCAAGGTATAAAGAATAATATGTCAAAATAAATTAACATATGGTACTTGAATGTCAAATCCAAAATCCATTTAATTTCCGCATAAATTTCATATGATTTGAAATGTCATTGACGCAATTTCGAAATTTATGGGTATTTTGAAGTTTAATATTTCTTTAGTATGATGGAAAAAGTACGTCGCGAAATTAACAGTAGATGACATTTATTTTTTTAATCGTCGCGTAAAAGTGACTGTAATATTTTAACCTTTTATTTTTCTTTTTGAAAATTTGGCAAATAGCTATGAATATTTATGTATAAATGTATAAAAAATTTATATAAATGAATAAAATTGACTAATAGAAATATCTTAATTACATATATTGTTTACATTTAACCAAAAAAAAAATTAACTTTTCCATACATATATAACATCTTAAGTGGAAAATATATATACATATATCTATATATACATTATTTACATACATATATACAAAAGATAAATATACGTATTACGTATATAGGTACACACCATAATTTAAAAATCTGATGAAAACGCTTCAAAAGGAAAAGCAAGTTGTGAAATAGTTATAATTATATATTATAAAAAGTTCGATCTTACGCGTATTTAAATATAAAATTGATTTTAAATAATTGTATTATATACATAATAATTTATCTACATACATACAAATATGGTGTGATTTAAAAATTTTGGAAAAAAAAAATAATGATTAAAAGAAAGAAAAAAATTCTAGGTAAATAATCACAAACTACTAAAAATAGAATAAAAAAGAAGATAATCTAATTAAGGTGCAATACAATAGACAACAGGTTCTAGAAACAAAATATACTATTACACACTTGCGTCTCATTATTTTGGATAAAATAAAAATTTTATTTTTCAAACATAATTGGATTATTTTTATTTCCGTAGTACCTACCTAGCCACATATTTTATAATTGTGCTAAAGTAATAAAAATTTTTATATTGTTACAGCAAAGATTTACCTCCAAATTGTAAGTTTTTTTTATTTTTAATCAATTTTTTTTTATTTTTTTTTTTATTTATTTTAGGTTGAATTTTCTTCCCTGAAACTTAAAGTATAATATTTAAATAAGATTTATTAGGAATTAATAATAGTTGCAAATTATTTACATGCGTATACAATATTGAAAAAAAAATTAACTTTTTTAGCATGTACCTATTTGTATAAAAGATTTGAGAAACGTAAATTTTAGGCGATTGCGAATCTGCACTTTTTAAAATACAAAAAGAACCTGTATTTATTTAGATCTATATACCTACATAGGCAGGATATTAATTGAGAATATTTTCTACTTTATAATTTTTTTAAATACTTATTTCTTGTAATTCTTTGTATAAATATTTATTTGTTTTGACTTTTCGAGATTTTTTAAATATTTAGTTAAAGTTTATTTTTAAATTTTCAGTTTACTGACTTTTTTAGGTGAATCTTCTTGACTTTGTGGTTGAATATTTTCAAATAGCACTACATCAAAAATTTGTAATAGCATTATTATGATTTTAAATTAAATCTTTTAAATATTTTGCTTTGAGTAAATAGGTACCTACAAGCTTTAAGGGAATTTTTTCCTTCTTGATCGAAATATGCTCTCAAAAAAAGATATTATTAACTAATTTATTAAGTAACTGGGTATATTTTAAGTAGGTAACACATAACGTATTTTGAAATTTAAAATCAATCTATATAAGTATATCTTAGAATTTACTATTAAGACAATTGTACAGTTCCTTTATGCAACCTTATTAAATTTTAACTAAGTTATCTAAGTGAAAAATAATAAGCTTTATTTAGTGAGGCCTGTTTTTAACTAGAATAATTTTGTTTAATTATGGCAAGCCTTAAACATATTATTGATGTTTTAAAAACATAACAGAAACTCAACATTATTTTGTTGATTTTGTTAACTTTTTTTTGATTTTAAACTAAGAATTTTAAATTATCTTTTTACGAAAACTGTACATTATTTAAAAAATTTCGTCTTATATTGTCTTACAATATTATCTGACTTATAATAAGTGGATAGCTCATATAAGTGCTTAACTTTCTCATTCGATTTTTAAAATTATGCATACTTATTAATTAACTTATTAGTTAATTTCCTTAATTAATTATGTATAAAGTTCATTATGCATATTCATTAAGGAAAAATTTGAAAAACCTTTTAAATTATAATTTGAAATTTTATTTTATTTGCTATAAATAAAAAATAGTCAGTTAGAGAAAAATTCAAATCAATAAATTTTAATCTTTTGAATTCTGGCACATAGAGTACTTATGTACAGAAATACACATTTTTAATAAAATTGATATTAATCTGTTACAAGTTGTTGTAAAAATTTTAACAGTTTTAGTTTATCTAGTTTTAATTAAGAAATTTTTGTTTTAAATTGTTTTTTAATAAGAGTAAGTTTTACTGATTTGAGTTAATTTTTTAATTAATTTTTAATAAAAATTTAAAAACTTTTGTATAGCTACATATTTATCTCAAGAGATGGAAGAAATCAATTTGTTATTCTGCGTATGATTTTTGTCAGAATTTTGGGGGAATCCAAACAAAAATTTTTTATATATATTAAAATATATATGTACATACTTGTATACATCTACATGTGTACATATTGTATTTTTAGTGTTCTAATAATATAGTATACATACTTTAATTCAGTCCTGAAAAAAAAACGAACCACTTAAATTCAAAATATGAATGGAAAATTCGAAAATACATGTTTAAATTTATTTACACTTTCATATGCATACATATATCAGGAAAATAAATGCAAACATATACACATATACATAACATTGTTTATTCGAAATGGAATTTTTCGCTTTGTTTTTTTTTTCTTTTAAGATCCAACAGACGCAGTTTTTTTAATGAATCTTTAATTTATTAACAGAGTGCTGCGTTAACTTTTATTTTTGCAATTATTTTTTTTTTAATTACTTATTGGTCACAAATGGAAATACTAATAGAATCAGTATCATCATGACTATTGGAAATAGTCATGATGATACTGATTTCTGTCTCTTCTATTGCACTTGCAAGGAATGAAAAATTTTCTATAGGGTGAGCTTTAGATTTTGAATATGTCCATAAATACATGTGCCGTCCTATTTTAATCTTATTCATACTTTTTTTTTATCAATCTATATTCGAAAATATGGAAAAGGACAACTATCAATATGCAAATCTAATGTCAAATTGACCTATTCAATAATTAAAACATTGAAGTATTACTGAAAAAGTCAAAATGATATTAGATCTGAATTTTTGTTGACGCCAGTATGTATATTCATCTGAAGACGTTCGAAGATATTGTAATTTATTTTATATTTGAATCGATAAATCAATCATCAACAATTAAACCTGGACTACACTTGTTCTAATTGTAAAATTTTGATTAAATTTTTGGCATATTTTAGCTGAAATTAATGACTTAACATTGTTTCCTAAAATTAGATAGAGTGTTGATATAAAAAAGCGGTTTAATGTTTTCATAAGGAAAATAACCTTAGCAAAAATCGAATGATTTTAGAAAACTTCAAATTAAGGTCAGTTGAAGTTAACGTCATATTTTCAATAAGTAGCACAGAATAGATTGCTAATGTTAACAGATTGATAAATAGCATAGTTTATAATTTTTTAATTTTTTATATAAGCCTGTTTACACAACGACTTTTGCATTAATGGTTGACATACGTTTCATTCCCCTTGCCGAAGAGCTTTGTAACCCTTTAGCAAAGATAACATCAAAAAGCTTTGTTCCTCTCTGGCAAGGAGAAAAAAGCGTAAATAGAGTTATATTATATAGTTGAAAAGATACTGTTTTATGAAAATATTTAATTTTGTAAATTATACAATATTTTATTGTTGTGTATAATGGAAACTTAAAATTTCTGAAGAAACAAAGAAAAAAAAACAAATAATTCCAATTTGACTTTTTTTTATACCCGTACGAACGTATATTCGGAGGGTATACTAAATTTGCCTTACCGTTTGTAACTCTTAGAAAAAAATGGTCTGAGATATAGACTCAAGACGGGTCGAATTCTGAGTCGATTTACCTTTGTCTGTCTGTCCGTACCAACGATAACTTAAAAACTAATTGAGCTAAGTTCACCAAATTTTCACAAATGATTTATTATAGTAAATGCCAGAACCCTATTTAAATTGGTTATGATTCGGGTACTGGTTCAGGTAGCTGCCATACAATTTCAAAAGTTATTTGACTATATCTCGGAAACTATAAAAGATGTGATATTGAAATTTCATACAAGCGAATATATTAGTAGGGCCAATGTGTTTGATAAAAGTCGTTGAAATTGTTTGGCTCTTTCTGTTAACAGCAATACAACTTTAATAGTAGTTTTGCAACTTAATAGTCAGCTATGGCATATTTATTCGCACATAAGATAACATATTCGTACGGGTGTCACAGAGTTGACACGGTCAACTCTATTTTTTCTCGTTTTCATCTCATTTTTTATACGAACATATGTATAAGTATGTATGTATGTACATAGATAAAGCTTGAATATAGTTATGTATATGAATAGAGAAGTCATAAAGATGTTAATATAATAATGTACTTATGCCTTTACATAAACATGGGTACATATGTATGTATTTTAAATGAACGGTTTATGGGATTATGAAGAAATAAATAAAATAAATACCTATCTAGATCTATAAAAACTAATTGTATAAATTATATACATAGATACTATTTTATGCGGTATAGTCGCCACCACATCGTCCTACACAGTTAAGAGGTTTTGAAAAATTTTCTAGATATTTTTCTTGCTTTTTTTTTTTTAAGTTTTGTTTTTGGTTTATTGGTGATGAAAAGTTAAAAAAGCGATTTTATTTTCGTTTTTTCACAAATACAAAATTTTTTAGTTATCAATTATTTTGTTTCCTTCTTTCTTCATTTAATTATTTTAACTTAATTAATTACAGTTTCATTATTGTTAGAATGCAAATAAATAAATAATAGTTATTTAGAATAAATTTTTATTTTCAAAATATATGTATGCATGTACATATATGTATATGGGTACGCATGTATGCATACAAATTACATTGATATTTTATTGTTATTTGTTGATAATAATTTTTACTATTAAAGAGAATGACTATTGATTTTCGTCTTAAAATTTGGATCACATTTGGATAGTATTTGTTCAAAGATATACAAAATACACGCAAACCTAGTTTATAAAACTACTTGACACTTTTCATGCGTGCAATTTTATAATTATTTTTTTTTTTTGATTTAAAATCTTGTATTTTCTTAAAGCGTCTAAACTTATAATTATTTTTTTATGGTAATAAACTTTAAATAAGTATGTATAACCATATGTCAATATTTTTATGAAATTTATAAAAAAAAAGAAATATTATCTAAATACTTAATTTTCTTAAAACTTCCAAATAAGTTTTATTTATTTCATTTAAGCATTGTTTTTGTTTACAATTAGCATAAATTACTTATTATAATTTCATTTAATTTTTGAAGGCACAACTGCCAAAAAGTGACAGATTTACTTATTTAGTTTTCTAGAAATTAATTTACTTGAATTTAATGCATCATAAAAATTATTCACATTTCATCATTATTTGGGGACTTAACATGGATTCATACACACTGTTATGTTATTGTGTTATATTTAGAATGTTATGTTGAGTATACTTAAATCGGTTATTTCTTGAGTTATGCACCTTTTAAATATTCAAATATTTATGAATCAATTATACTTAATTAGTAACATAAGCAAAAATACTTTTGGTAAAAATTTATATATGTAAATATATACGCATTATATAACAAAAAATTGCTTAAATAGTAGATAAGTATTATGTATTTACAAAATCTTAAAAAATAATTAAATATGTACCTATGTAAAAATCTTAAAATTGCAAGTACTGCTACGCCATCTATATATCAGTATTTCTAATTTAAAAATACA